GTTACTTAAAATTAGAATTACTCCAAAGTTGAAATATTTCTCAGGCCAAAAATTGAACCGGATCCATAACCGATCACAGCTAAGGTTTTATTTTTCTATATACAACATTAAGTCAAACGGGTCAAATGATGGTCATAAGTCGGTTAATACCGGTTTAAACTTGATTACTCCATCAGTAAATTCGGTAATACAACCATTTTATTTTTACCTCCTTCTTTTTTGACAGACCAGCTTATCTTTGGTTCCTAAAATTTTGGTTTAATACATAGTACACAGTTAAATTTCTGTTGTCCACACACGTGTTATATATGCATAGATACATACGTAACGTACGTATATATATATTTTGATCCTTTGTTTGTATATGTAGTACTAATAATTTTTAGGAGTCAATTAGTGGTTGCAATTCGCTGAATCTCTTAGTTCACGTTTTAGAAAATCTTATCCCGACTTTCTTGGGATATAAGCATCTTTGTCCATTCATTACACAACCTATTTCTGTTTTCTTTTCCTCTGTTAAAGTACAAATCTAATCTGAATAAAATCCAAATGGGTCATTATTATCCATGCAAATCCTCTGTGAATCAGAATTAAAACCCTAGAAAAGAAAACAAATATTTAAGATTTACGTCTCTGATCCAATAAATTGTTACAGAAAATGGAGTTCGAGAACCGGTACGGACTTGCAACGTCGCAGAAGTACGACTGTCTCTTGTTCGGTACGTACTTAACCGGAATAAACCAAGTACTTTTGATTAATTCATACAAATAGTTTCCTGACCGGTTTAACAAAATTTTCTCTTTAGATTTGGACGATACTCTTTATCCTCTTAGCTCCGGGATCGCAAGAGAATGTGGGAACAACATCAAAGGTAGTTCTATTTCTATTACCGCAATCGATTTATCGCTTAACAATTCATTCTTAAATTGGTTTTTGTCTTTCCGGTTTAATAGATTACATGACCGAGAAACTCGGTATACCAAAGGACAAACTCGTCGAATTGTCCGATCTTCTCTACAAGAACTATGGAACAACAATGGCTGGTCTTAGAGTACGTGATCAATATCATCCCTAAACTTCTATTATTTCTTCTTACAATTTTTTTTTTGTACCTTTTTTTTTTTTGTAACATTTTCTCGTTCTCTAGGCGATCGGATATGAATTTGACTACGATGAGTACCACAGTTTCGTCCACGGTCGTTTACCATACGACAACATAAAACCCGACTCTGTTCTTCGCAGCCTCTTGCTTAGCCTCCCTCTCCGCAAAGTCGTACGTGTCACAATCACTTTTATATTTATTTAAATTCCATACTATAATATAGTTTGAATAGATAACTAATCAACATTTTTTAATTTCCGTAATCAGATCTTTACCAACGCGGACAGAGTTCACGCGGCCAAGGCGTTGAAGAAGTTGGGATTAGAGGATTGTTTCGAAGGAATCATATGTTTCGAAACGCTAAACCTGATGCACACAAACGCTGCGTCTAACAATTCCGAGATTTTTGATATCGTTGGACATTTCAACCGGTCTGAACCGGTCGGTTCACTTCCCAAAACGCCTGTTGTGTGTAAACCATCTGAATCGGCTATCGAGAAAGCTCTTGAAATCGCCAATATTGATCCTACCCGAACGGTATAGCAAACCGGATTTTTAATTATCACCTTTTTTCTTCCAAACTTTCAAAAACTTGGACAACAAAACTAAAATTTATATTAATTCTCATCGCAGCTGTTCTTTGAGGACAGTGTCCGAAACGTACAAGCTGGAAAACGCGTTGGTCTTCACACGGTTCTGGTACGATTATCTTGGTTTAATTAACCAAACATAATCAAATTTAATCAAACAGAATATTTTAATATTGGTTTTGGAATTGACTTTGGAGTTTGTTAATGATTGTTGTTTTCAGGTTGGTAAATCAACCAAAGTCAAAGGAGCAGATTACGCGTTGGAAAACATTCACAACATGAAAGAGGCCATACCGGAGTTATGGGAAGCCGACAGGAAGTCGCCGGATGTTGGATATTCCGGCAAGGTCGCCGTTGAGACATCTGTTAGAGCTTAGGAGTACTGTTTCGCTCGTTGTACCTAATTTTCCACCACTGTCATTTTCAATTTCTTTTTTTAAATGACGTAATGTCATTTTTGTTTTTTTCGACTTGTGTTTATAAATTTAAATAAAAAATGAGGAAATAATTTCCATCTAGTTTGTAGGAAAAATAAATAATTCAATATCCTCCGGGCATCTTCTAGAACTAATCAATATAATCTAAAAAAATACGTCAAAAATGCATAGAAAATCAAGAAGATCTCACCATATCATTTTTACTGATACTTGAGCAAAAAACTTTCTTTTTTTTTTTATAATTTTTACATAAAAATATGATCAGCGATTAAACTATATAAGATACAGATATATGCTATATACTTTTCACTATATTACAAACTGTTGATACGGTCGTATCTGATATAATTATTGTATGAAACTTAACTTAATACTAGATTTTGTTTTATTGTATTAAGTCCACAATGTGATCAGCTGAAATGGCTGAGTAATTTTATTTTAAGTTGTTTAATTGTTCATCAAATATGGTCATGAGTCATGAATCATGATGGATGTTGACAAAAAAAAAAAAAAAAACCCGTGACAGACTTGCAGTTCAATTACACTTGTTTCGGAATATGTACAGAACCAAAAAAAAAAGTCAATAATTTCGTAGTTCAATTTTGTTGCACAAAACTCTTTTTTTTTTTTATAATGATAAACCTTCCACCCGAAAAAACATGTCGTTTATACGGCGAGAGGTTCATAGAAACGGCACGTTGTTACATATTCAAAATGATCGATTGTCATAAATAACAATTCTGGCCCATAGGCGAAACAGAGATATTAAAGGGTGGGCCCAAAATTCAATTAAGAGATAAGTAAGAGTGTCAGTCATTTGCACCACTAGAAAGATGACACGTGTACTCACAACGACTAACCTTCAAATCAGACGGTCATCAATGCTCGCACCTATCGGTCGGTTCCCATACTCTCTTTCAATTGCTTCTGAGAGATATTTAAGTTTAAGAAAAATATCTTAAGCTTCTCAAGCTTCTTCAATGGCGAACCTTCCCACCGTTCTCGTAACCGGCGCTAGTGGACGAACAGGTAATCACTTCTCTATTTCGTTTCCGCCGATATTGATTTTAGTTATCTTTCGTCCTGTTAGGGCTAGTGATGTTATGGTTTATGCAAGTGATGATCAATTGGACCAATCTGGAATTTAGTTGTGTTCTGGAGTGATCTCTGTTTTGATCTTGTTTAAGCTTCTTCATGTGATGAAAATTGTGGTTGTTTTCATGGAATTGATAGGTCAGATTGTGTATAAGAAGCTGAAGGAGGGGTCAGACAAGTTTATAGCAAAGGGTTTAGTTAGAACTGCTGAAGGAAAAGAGAAAATTGGAGGAGAAGCTGATGTTTTCATTGGGGATATAACAGATGCTGATAGTATTAATCCTGCGTTTCAAGGGATCGATGCGCTTGTGATTCTCACGAGTGCTGTGCCTAAAATGAAACCTGGTTTTGATCCCACTAAAGGTGGAAGACCTGAGTTCATTTTCGAAGATGGACAATATCCTGAACAAGTAATTATTAACAAGAACATCTTAACCTTTTCCTTCAAGTTTCAGCTTGAATATTTGTTCATTGCAGCGTAAGCAAGACAAATTGATTTTGTGTAGGTTGATTTTATTGGCCAAAAGAATCAAATTGATGCAGGTAGGTGTATTTTTTATTTCCATTTTGTTTTCCATGGTTTCTTGTTAAAGGTTAAAGTGTCTAATTCGGTGAGCTTCTATGTTCAGCCAAAGTGGCTGGTGTTAAGCATATTGTCGTGGTAGGATCAATGGGTGGAACCAATCCGGATCATCCTTTGAACAAACTGGGAAATGGGAATATACTGGTTGGTGGAAATTTCTAATATTTGTTCTTTTGATAATGAGTTTGGTTTCTTGCACTGCGATGAACATTTGGCTTATGAGGCTCAAAATTTGGCTACCTAATGCGTGTTCAGGTTTGGAAGAGAAAGGCTGAACAGTACCTTGCTGATTCTGGAACTCCTTACACAATAATCAGGTTAATCAAATTCTTTAGAATGCTTATATTTTAACTACAAGGCCCTTTGTATATATTAACCACATCGAAATTCCTCCCAATTCTGTAGTTGTAAAAACTTCTAGTTACACTGTGTCCTGGTAACTGGTTAAGCCTTTTATCATGTGGATCAAGGAGTGTTATTCTCTATCTTCTCGAGCCTGTTCTTACTTGTTTATCGCTGTTCTTGTTTTCCTTAAAATTTGTCTGTTGATGAACTTAGAGCTGGAGGACTTCTAGATAAGGAAGGCGGTGTAAGAGAGCTGATAGTTGGTAAAGACGATGAGCTACTTCAGACAGACACAAAAACCGTCCCCAGGGCTGATGTTGCGGAAGTCTGCATCCAGGTCTACTCACCTGCATTAATTTTCTTAATCAAATCTTCATATCCTCTCCTTGGTTTATTTTCCAATTTTGATCTTTCTTCTTTACAAGTACAGGCATTGCTGTTCGAGGAAGCCAAGAACAAAGCTTTCGATCTCGGCTCAAAGCCAGAGGGAACCAGTTCTCCGACTAAAGACTTCAAGGCTCTCTTCTCTCAAGTCACGTCTCGTTTCTAAATCCTTATCTTTGCTGCGAATAAGAACATTTGGGATGTAATTTATCAAACCTTCTAAAATAAAATCTCTGGGGTCAATTTGAAAGGAGCCCATAATAATAAGTATGTTTATTATCATTTCGAGAGAAATTGGTTGGGTTTGAATATTTTGAATTTAAAATATGGGGCAAATGACAATTTTCTCGTTTCTATCACCCGCTTCATCTGCCTTTCTATCGGCACAAAAAAAAAAAAAACAGAGTAATATGTTAAACCAATCACCCCCTTAGGCCATCTCCAAAGGGAGATCTAAGTGGTTGTTCAAAAGCAAAAGTGTCTACAAAATAAATCAAAAATGAAAAAAGATCTTGGACCCGTATCCAAAATTAGATTTTTAAAACTTATTTAGACACGCATACGTGTCGTTTTCTCCTCTTTTTCTCGTTCTTTCTTCTTCTTCTCCGATACAACCCAGAATCACTCTGTAACTCACTTGTCGTTGCTCTTGTCGTAACCCTAGCTACCAATAAAATCCGTCGCGACGTCCATATCTCCCCTCCTTCTCCTCCTCCCACCACATGTTATCCCTTCCGCCTATCTCACCTATCCATCTTCCCCCAACCTCGATCCCCTTCTCAAATACAGAAATTTCAGATCTACCATATCATTCGACCTCTCTCAATTCTGCTTCTCTTTTAAATATTAGGATTTGGGAAGACGAAGAGTAAGTGTCTATCCATTTTGATTTTTGTCTGAACCCATTTCTGGGTTTTGCTTTACATAGCATGGATGGAATCTCAGATTTGTTAGTGTTTCTAGTAAATTGTGTATATGGGTTGTCTCGAATCTGACAATCTTAAAGCGATTCAAAGAGTGATGAAACCTAAATTTACTAATTGATATGGAATTTGGTGTGTAGGGTTTGGTTTCACGATTTGATTTGCTTTGAGCTGAACACGTTTCTTCGTAATTCAACATTTCTTTTCGTTGTTTGAACTCATCTAGTGTTAGCATTAGACGGGCAAGCAAATCTTCGGGTTTAATTTCACTAGTTAAGTTGTGTTCGTTCTTTTGTCTTAGATTCAGGTGTGATGGACAGAAATTAGAGGCTAGTCACCTATGAAGAGCTAATGGACATAACTAAAAAATTTAAGCAATAGTCGAGTTCTCTGAATTGTTTGTGTTCATTTAGACGTTGATTTTAAGTCTTTTTTGTTTGTTCCTATGTTGAATTGGGCTTGGTAATTGCAGGGAACATGTTTTGTTGATAGTAAGGAAGATATGTGGTTGCAGGAGCAAATGATTTGAAAGGTGAAGATGGGAATACAAATGTGGTGATTATATTTCTTCTAGCCTAGGGAGTTAAAAAGTGACGTGAGGACAAGCTGATGATATGGCTTCCAATCTTTCTACCGTCTTCTCTAACTTGGAGCTACTTTGCTTCCTGTAACCAAGGTAGTACCAAAAGCATTATCTTCAAGATTGTGTGTTATACTTTCACTAGTTTTTGAGATCTATCGAAGTTTAGCATTTCTTTATCCAACGTTTGAGATTTCTGTGCTTTGATTACTTTTGTAGGTTTTAAGACATTTGTTGTATCTAATGAGGATTCAGAGAAGCCTATCTATTGACGGGTTTCTCTTGCTCATCTCTGTTCGTTAGAGGATCAGAGAACCATATTCATAGATGACAAAGGCACGTGATTGGAAAGCCATAGAAAACTTATTAATCTCATTTGCCCAATGTGAAGATTCACTGAGTTTGTGTGTCAAGGTTTTTGAGTGTGTAAGTTTTGAGAGTGTGGAGTGTGTGTCAAGTTTTGAGAGTCAAATGTATCCCAAACACTTGTACCAATTTTTTCAAAAATTTAAATTTTTATATCCTCAAATGTAATTTCACCATTGGACTGTGTCTAAATTGAAAAATACTTTGAGTGTCTAAACTTTTGCTTTTGCATTAAAACAATTAGAAATATGGTTTTAGACCCATGAGGGAGTCTAAACCATTGGAGATGCTCTTAGTGTTTCATTAAGATCTTAAACCAGTAAAGTTTTAAAAAAATTTGTACTAATATGTTAGGTTATTTGGCCAGATTTTGGAAAAAGCCACAAATTTTTTTGCTAAATTTCATAGTAAGTCAGATCTAGACACAAATAAACATCCATTACCACTTGCACCGAAAAAGTAAAAAACAATCTGAAACAATTTTTGCAAATGTCAAAAGAGGGTTTATAAATTTAGTGGCAATATAGTTTGATATTTGAGTCAGCCCCTGCAGTGAATAGCCATGGTTGTCTCGGATGAAACTTGCAGTCCAAGACTCATGCAATCAAAACCCATAATATATATATATTAATCTCCTGAAAAATCAAAATATATGACGATGACGCATAATAGTGTGATTTAATACTTTGTATAAAAGTTTATGCCGGTTTCTAATACTTTGACTTAAGAATCTTTCTGAACTGACTAATTCCTTGAAAACTGCTGCAGGTAGATAACATGGCAGGGCAAGGATCAACGTCTCAAGCTCTGTAAGTTTCACAATCTATGAATGCATGATGAGAATCTCTTTTTGATGAATGAGTGATTCAATAGATATAAAAGAAGAACCTTTGTTCTGTTTTTTCGTTGTTGGGGTTATGCTAATATGCTAACTATGAAGCATGAATGAAGGAGCTGCTAATATACCACAACTACAAGCCAACACTCTGTGCCATCAAGAAATAGATGAAGGATTCAAGAGAGGATCGATCTGCTATGTGGGCAATTTCCGGTTCGATTTAACCGAAGTTGGTTTGAGAGACCTTTTCTCACCATTCAGAGAGGTTATTTCTTGTAAAGTCAAGAGATTTCAAGACTCTAGGTTGAGTGGAGGGGACGGCTTTGTAGAGTTCGTCACTCCACAAGAGGCATTGAACATATACTAATGCATGGAACATATGTATGAGGGCACATATACTAATGCTACAATGTCTCTATACAAGGAATTCTTTATTCTATGACAAAAAAATATGTACCAGAGATGCACCGACATTCAGACTTGTGTGCGAGATGAAATCAATGAAGAGAAATGCTCTACAAGCAGAAGGTATAAAGCTTATTTGTCATTTAACTTTGCTCAACAAAACTAACAAACTAGTACTAAATATTTGGATTTTACAAATTAATTGATTTATCTAATTAAGATAGAGGGTAAAAAACATATATATATTTCAAATTTCACTAAGTAAGAAGTAGGTCAAAAACTAATGAAGTAAAATAAAAGTAAATGGATCATATTCCTAAATGGCTTATCTTGTATTAGTTTATTAGTGATGTTTATGAAAAAAGGGTATAAATGGTTGCTAAAATGAATGAATGTAAAAACTTCTAGTTACATTGTGTCCTGGTCACTGATTAAGCTTTTTATCATGTGGATCAAGGAGTGTTATTCTCTATCTTCTTGAGCATGTTCTTACTTGTTTATCGTTGTTCTTGTTTTCCCCAAAATTTGTTTGTTGATGAACTTAGAGCTGGAGGACTTCTAGATAAGGAAGGCGGTGTACGAGAGCTGATAGTTGGTAAAAACGATGAGCTACTTCAGACAGACACAAAAACCGTCCCCAGGGCTAATGTTGCGGAAGTCTGCATTCAGGTCTACTCACCTGCTTTTATTTTCTTAATCAAATCTTCATATCCTCTCCTTGGTTTATTTTCCGATTTTGATCTTTCTTCTTTACAAGTACAAGCATTGCTGTTCGAGGAAGCCAAGAACAAAGCTTTCGATCTCGGCTCAAAGCCAGAGGGAACCAGTTCTCCGACTAAAGACTTCAAGGCTCTCTTCTCTCAAGTCACGTCTCGTTTATAAATCCTTATCTTTCCTACGAATAAGAACATTTGGGATGTAATTTATCAAACCTTCTAAAATAAAATCTCCGGGGTCAAATTGAAAGGAGCCCATAATAATAAGTACGTTTATTATCATTTCGAGAAAAATTGGTTGGGTTTGAATATTTTGAATTTAAAATATGGGGAATATTTGGTGATTTATTAAAAATACGGGGCAAAACTGACAATTTTCTCGTTTCTATCACCCGCTTCATTTGCTTTTGTAACGGCACCAAAAAAAACAGAGTAATATGTTAAACCAATCACCCCCTTAGTGTTTCATTAAGATCTTAAACCAGTAAAGTTTAAAAAATTGTTGTACTAATATGTTAGGTTATTTGGCCAGATTTTGGAAAAAAACACAAATAAATTCGCTATATTTCATAATAAGTCAGAGATCTAGATTCTAGACACAAATAAACACCCATTACCACTTGCACCGAAAAAAGTAAAACACAATTTGAAACAACTTTTGCAAATGTCAAAAAGAGGGTTTGTAAATTTAGTGGCAATAGAGTTTGATATTTGAGTCAGCCCCTGCAGTGAATAGCCATGGTTGTCTCGGATGAAACTTGCAGTCCAAGACTCCTGCAATCAAAACCCATAATATCTATATTAATCTCCTGAAAAATCAAAATATATTTCTAGAAACAATAATGTCCGTGCCAATCGCCTTGCAAAGAGCGCTCGAGTACGAGGTCTAGTTTTTTCCCATGTAAGCTCCCAAGTTCCAGAGTGGTTGGCTCACGAGGCTAACCTTTTCGAACTAGCTTAATAATAATGGTGTTTTGGTGTAAAAAAAAAATAAAAAATAAAATAAAATAAAATGACTATGACGCAGAATAGTGTGAACCTTGAGGAAAAACACAAAATGCCATATAAACTAACCTCCACCATTTGAAGAAGTAGAATGGCCTCTTAGAATCTCCAACGGCACAATCAGAGGATTCTCGTTCAGATCATCATACACCTTTCCATGGAACACATAAGCTGTTGAGTCCTCTGAGGACGAAGCAAACAGCGGATACGAACGGTGAAACACCACATTAGTGATGTCCTTAGGATGATTCTTGAGAGTCTTGTACGGCTTTGAAGAAAGATCCATGTCAAACCAACACATCTTCCCTTCTTTACTTCCTACTATCAGATTATCACCACCAGGATGAATCGTCAGTGATGAGATTTCCCTCATTCCAGTCTCGAGCTTTTTGACCGGCTCATCTACCTTTAACAGATTGTAAACACGCACGTTCTTTCTTGTCGCGATGAAGAAGTATGAACGGCTGGGATGAAAAAGTGCAGTCAGTGGAAGTCCACGGATCTTGAAGGGCTTTTGTGTAAGCTTTTTCGAGATTTGATGAATTACAACACCTCGCGTTTCGCCGGATGCCATGACTGTCGACAGATAGTCTCCCTTACGATGCCAGTCAATACTCGATACGTTCTGAAATATATAAACCAAAACAGTTATAAGGATTTTATTTTTCCCCTGTGATAGCCGTTACAAAGGATATTTAGCAAAGTGTACCTTAAAATGTCTAATCATGATCCCTCCGTATTTCTCATCTGGAAGCCATCTTGCAATTGCTGCAAAATATACAAAAGATTAAATCATTCGAATATCCATTTCAATTTCTGACAAACTATTGGTGGCTACTTACCGGATGCTTTTGGTTCTGTAACGTTTCCTAAGTGCAGCAGCTCTTTAATATATTCCTGTTCCTCATCAGTGTCAAGTTCAGTGTTCAGGATAACCAAATCTCGTCCCCTGCAAATGTGAGATGTGATGGTTTCAGATCAGGAGGTTATAATAAATCAAGAAAACAAACTCCTAAGATACACACTCACATGGCAACGGCTAAAATTGATAAGCCGGAGAGAGGATTCCAAGCCACACACTTAATAGCTTCATCAAATTGCCAGATCTTAAGACATCTACCAGTTTCCACTTCCCATATACGGACGGATCCATCAGTTGAACCTTTGAAGAGAGAAACAAGAATACAAAGGTTGGCATCTTGGAAAAAGAAGAGAGAGCTCAACAAAATTGAACAAAAACCTTGGTCACTCCCATCTACTAGTTCACTTTCATCACCATCATCATTATCATCTGATCCCTCGAGACCTAATACATACATATAGATGCCGCCTCTCTATCTCTCTTACAAGTTCAAATAAAAGATGAGCTGAACCAGAGGCAAGTAATTACCATCGACTTCGTCCTCGGATGATTCTCTCTCTCCGTCTTCTGTTGAACCAGTCCTCGGGATCTAAAATATCGGAATGCAAAGACCCGGACAAACTCTACACAAAACCGAGAAAGATGAACAAAAAAAAGCTCCAAGCAATGAAACAAAAGAGAAGGCGCTAGGAAAGGAGAATACATCCCCGTCGTAATCATCAGAATCTGGTAGCAGCAGGTCTTCTTCTTCCTCTTTCAAGCTTCTCATAGGGACTCTCTTTCTCTTTGTCTCTCTCATTTAATCCTCGTTAGCTGCTTTGCCCTTCTTCAGAGGCGAGAGGTTTCGACTCCTCGTTTGAAGAACAAAAATTCAGGGTTTTATGTTAAAGTCGCAATGCTCCTCCTTAACTCTTATGGGCTTGTATAATCTTAATGGGCCACAAGAGTTATAAAGACTGCGATTTTTTTTTTTCCTTTCTAAATGATATAAATTCATTTTCTTTTATCGCTATGTTTTATTTTTCTATTGAAAATTACTGTATTATCCGTTTTTAATAATCATATTAAAACCATCTTTTTTAATAACAATATATATCCGACATTTTTTTTCTTACACATGTTTGGATATAATGTGGAATCCATTTAATTAATTCAGTACAATATTACAATGCTCAAATACATATATCTGCGCAGTCACAATGTTATAAAGTACGTCCTCTACTTCTTTTCATGTTGAGGAATATTGGTTGGGTTTAATAATTCAAATTTAAAAATATGGGGAACATTTGGTGATTTATAAAACATACGGGGCAACACTGAGAATTTCTCGTTTCTATCACCCGCTTCATTTGCCTTTCTATCGCCACAAGAACACACAGAGAGAGCGATTTGCCACTTCCGATATCGTTCGGATTTTGCTTCTTCATCTGAAGCTACAATGATTTCGGTTAGAGCAATCAATGGTTGCTCCATCATTCGGACCGCCACTTCCGCCGGCGGCCCTCCCGTCTCTCTATTTCGCCACCGTATTCAGCGCCTTAGAGCTTCTCATCTCCGTGAATTCTCGAAATTAGGTTTAAATTTTCCACTACTCCGGTCGAATAGGCGATCTCTCGGAAATAATGATGCTCCGAGCTGTTCGTCTTGCATTCATAGTCTGGTCGAAAGTGTTTCCGAAGAGCTCGGATCCATCAGCAGACGCAAGGGAAGCCGAATCCGAGTTCGTGCTAGCGTGAAGTACGTTTCAGTATCCTTCTTTTAAGAAATATATACTGATAATTAGCAAAATTGAAGTAGAGCTCGAAAATTGAAAGAGAATGATGATGATTCACAGAGTTTTCTTGCTTTAGTGCTTTTTTGTTGGAGTGGGTACTTCATTGTGTAATTATACGAATCTTTAGGGTGAAATTAACAAGCTACGGAGAGGTTCTGGAGGATAAGCTAGTAAACCAGGAACTGGAGGCGGGTTTGCTTCTGGAGTTTAAGAAGGACGCAGAGAGAGTATTGTTGGCAGTTGTTCATAGACGTGATGGCAAGAAGAACTGGATGGTCTTTGATCAGGTTTCAATCTTAGTACTTATTTACATGCTCTAAGGTGCAGTGCTTGCAGATTGTTAGACTTATAGAAACTCTAATGGTGCAGAATGGTGTTACTTGTTCCATCAAACCACAGCAAATTACGTACATCGTCCCAGGTGTTTATAATTTTGATCATACAGGACTTACTGATTTTCTCCAGAGGGCACAGGATAACTTGGTACGTAATGACATCTTAGTATAAGATGAGGTTGTCATGTTGTTAACCATGAATGAGCTTCTAATTATTTTTCGATGCAGGATCCCCAACTGCTTGAGTTTGCTTGGATCGAGTTACTTGAGAAGAACAAACCTGTGACACCAGAAGAGTTAGCAGAGGTAGTGAGGTACTATATATTTGAGTTAATGTAGCGGTTGAACCCGTGGTTTGATAATGCTTTTAAATTTGCAGATGATATATGGTCGCGCAGATCCTCTTGAAAGCTATTGTGCTCATTTTTTGCTATCACAAGACGAGATATACTTTTTTGTCTTGGAGTCAAAAGGTTCTCGATCAATATATAGCCCTCGGTCTAGTGAACAGGTATTTCTTGTGCATTTTTTCCTGAGTTATCTTTTAGATTATGTCATATTTGTCACTAGAAGGGTGTTCTCTGTAGCTTTTTTTCTTGGTAGTGTAAATCCTATGATATTAGGATTTCATCCATCTATCTAGTAATGCTGCGCTGCATTTGCTCCATAAATTTGTGAAATCAAGAAAGAATTCTATGTTAATGAAATTTGTGATGATACTTGCTTCGATGTAACTTGGCTTGTTGGGTGATGATATGTGATTAATGCCAAGAGATCTAGATTATGAAAGTTGGGACTCTTCTATTGCTTGACATGATTTTCCTGAAGACCTTCTTTCTCTGATGATCTCACGTCGATTCTTTTTTTGTAGGTGGAAGAGCTTTTACGAAGGCAACGCGTGAAGGAGGCAGAAGAGAAAGAGTTTCAGGAGTTTATTCAATTGCTGAAGTCTGCCAAGAAGTCGCCTAGTCACGCCAAACCACCCAAATCTTCATGGCTAGCTGATGATAAAGTCCAAGATAGAATTGGCTCACTTGAAGCTTATGCCATTGATGCATGGGCAAGCACTGACCAGCAGAAATCGGCTGGAACGGTGAGTAAGCCATATATTTCTTTTCTGGTAATAGTAATATCTCTTCAGCTGTTTCTATGTGGATGCGAAGCGATATCTCTGAAAGAATATTCTCTTCGAATTGTCTTGTGGTCGTATTTTAACTGTTTGGTTGTTGAACTGTCAACTGTAATCATATGTATTTTTTGGTTGCTTCATGACAGATCTTAAAATCCATGGGGTTACAGAAAACGTCTGTATCAGCACTAAACCTTCTCATAGATATTGGATATTTTCCTGTACATGTCAATCTTGAACTGCTTAAGCTGAATCTTCCTACCCACCACTCAGAAGCTATCACTGAAGCTGCTGAAGTTCTTCTTTCAGAATCATCTGATATTGATGCGGTGAGCACTTTGCCCTGCCTTTTGGAGATTTGTGTTATATGAAAATATTGATTCTCGTGTTTGTGACGCTTTAGGAAAGTCTTGCCACAATCTTTCCCTGAGGCTCAAAATTCTTACTTTCTCAGACTTTGTTTAGGTTAGGAGGATTGATCTAACACACTTGAAGGTTTATGCAATTGATGTTGATGAGGCTGATGAGGTAAATTCATACAAGTCTCCTATATTTATTCTGTAAGGTCTAGGTTTCAAATCAAGTCTTATTGCTATCTCATTTAACTGTCAGCATTCTTTTCGGTTTTATGGAATATCTGCAGCTTGATGATGCCCTCAGTGCAACGAGACTGCAGGATGGACGGATAAAGATCTGGATACATGTTGCTGATCCTGCTAGATATGTTACACCCGGGAGTAAAGTGGACAGGTAAGTTTGATGCATATCTCTGATCACTATAAGAGCTTTTTGGAGACTCGGATTAATTAATATGTGCTTCAGAGAGGCAAGGAGAAGGGGAACTTCTGTCTTTCTGCCTACGGCTACTTATCCAATGTTTCCAGAAAAACTTGCCATGGAAGGAATGAGTTTAAGACAAGGAGAAAACTGCAATGCTGTCTCTGTGTCTGTTGTCCTGCGTTCTGATGGCTGGTAACTCAATAATCATAGCTCTTCTTTCGAGTTCTAATCTACCAAATGCTGAGAACTAAAAAAGTACCTTACGACCCCTTCTAACAGTATTGCAGACTATTCAGTAGAGAATTCAATCATCAGACCAACCTATATGTTGACATATGAAAGTGCTTCTGAGCTGCTTCACTTGAACCTAGAAGAAGAAGCTGAACTGAAATTGCTATCTGAGGCAGCTTTCATTCGCTCTCAATGGCGCCGTGAACAGGTTGGCTTGAGTGTTATCAAAATCTTATCATAGAAACATAGTTTTGCTAGAGGTTTTGTCTTGTCTAAAATTTTCAACGTGAAAGGTTCATTAGAGCCTTCTTTGGGCATTAAGGTTCTTGCTGGATGCATTTTTCATTTGTTTTTTATTTGAAACACCTGCTTTTTCCTGGGCTTACACAGGGTGCAGTGGACACAACTACGCTAGAAACTCGTATAAAAGTGGTGAATCCTGAGGATCCAGAACCTTTGATAAATCTCTATGTAGAAAATCAGGCAGATCTAGCGATGAGACTTGTCTTTGAAATGATGATTCTTTGTGGGGAGGTTGTAGCAACGTTTGGGTCTCAGCATAATATTCCATTGCCATATAGAGGACAGCCTCAGTCAAATATTGATGTATCTGCATTTGCGCATCTTCCGGAAGGACCCGTACGGTCGTCATCCATTGTCAAAGTAATGCGTGCTGCAGAAATGAATTTCAGATGTCCTGTTCGACATGGAGTGCTTGGAATTCCTGGTTACGTTCAGTTCACATCTCCCATTCGTCGTTACATGGATCTTACTGCACATTATCAGGTAAACCTTTTTCACCATCATGTGATTTAGATTTGATTCTTCTTGACAATGTCTTAATTGATTGATCTGTTTGGATATCAATGGGGTGAATCCAGTACACGTACTTGTGATTGTGCCATATCCTTCACTTGAAAATTAACCACTTCAATAATTTGGCAAAGTGTGTTGTTTGAATTACAGATTAAGGCTTTTCTTCGAGGAGGTGACAATTTTCCATTTTCGGCTGGTGAGTTAGAAGGTATAGCAGCATCCGTAAACATGCAGAGCAAAGTGGTGAGAAAACTCTCAAACAGCGGTCTCCGCTATTGGGTAATAGAGTTTCTCAGAAGACAAGAAAAGGGTAAAAAATACACCGCATTGATCTTGAGATTTGTCAAAGACCGGATCGCATCCCTTTTGTTGGTTGAGGTAATTGTTTAATACCACTGGAATTTTTTCTCATAATAAGCGGTTTAGATTAAGTTAAATCACTTGTAAATATGTTTCCAGGTGGGTTTTCAAGCAACGGCGTGGGTGTCAGAAGGAAAACAAGTGGGAGATGAAATTGAAGTTCGAGTAGAAGAAGCTCATCCCCGCGACGATCTTATTCTCTTCAAAGAGGTTATATAGAGAATTAAAAACACATAGTTCAGGAAAATTCATCAAAACCGGTTTCTCTAAACATGGAGATGCCTGAAACTGATAGAAAGCTTGTGTTTACAAAAGAGGTAACTAATTTCCACTAATGTTTTAACTAAGCCTGGTATATATTGATGAATTGAATACAATATTTTTTTGCTCTTTTGGTGTTAAAGAAACTTGCTGATGGACGCAGCCATTTTTGGGTTGAGCTATGACCTGCTTTAAGAGTTGAGCACATGCATGGTAATATGGTACGCACTTATAGGGTTCATACAATTTTACATCATGTTGTTATTGTAAGTCAGTATAGGAAACTTGCTTTTTGTTCTGTAGAGATAAGGAAGAAAAAGGAATGTGAATATACTATTTCAATGTTGAATTTGATCGATCTTAAAGTCCTTAAACAGAGCTCCAAGGCCTTAGAAAAATATCAACTTGATACAATTAAGATCGTAAGATTGTTTGTTTCTTCCAAGTGTGTGGCTTGGAATTTAAGTTAGGTCAGATATGAATCATATGGACTTCAATTCACTTCACATTATTGAGCCCTTAATACTCGGCTTCAGGTATCTATGGATTATGTATTATACAACCTCCTGAAATATAATCCTTAATTAGAGGTTAAGCTTGTTGTCGATTAGTTTTTTGTTTTTACAAATAAGATTGATCGTCGATTTATTTTTTAAAAAGACAGATTTAGTGCCCATAAAACCTATAACTAGACGTGGAAAATACGACTCCAAACACCACATGGCTGTCCAAACCTAAAATCACTTGACCAATTACAAATTGCGTTTATACTATAATGCTAATGATTGAAATTGAACCAACTGAAATTGGTAGCTTCTCTTTCTCCATGTCTAATATATCTAATTCAATTTCCAACACAAGAAATATTTACTTGTATGCGAATTGATAAGTTGGGTGGGAATGGGATATAATATTTTTTGGTGATAATAACAAAGAAAATTCAAAATCGTACCGAGAGTTTAGTTGTGGTGGGAAGAAGGAAAAAGTCAAATGCTGAAAGTGTACGTCGTAGTAGATAAGCGTATCAATTAAAAATTAAATGTGAAGCAACAAACAGTTAAAAGAATATTTTCATGTTACTATGTTCCTTACATTATGTTTTCTAACCATTAATACCAGTATACCACCAGTCACCGACTAATTGATAATTTGATATTTACGAAAGAACAGTTATGCATGCATGTATTACAAACTTATACTTTATTTCACTGCATTTTCAAGGACGGCTAAGCTAATTTGTCAGATCAATGACACTAATCAAACTGTATAAAATACATTTTTTTGTTCTTTTGACTTCTTATAAGGTAGAAGTTAAGCACAAAATTGCATCTTTTAAAATAAACTAACTAGGAAATTATGAAATTGGAAAATTAACTGATTAGTTGGTCACTCTCTGAAGTGGCCACTAATCTATGATCAATCGTTAATTTTGTAAAGTGACTATGATTAATGAAATCGTTAATTTTGCAAAGTGACTATGAAAAAAAAAAAAAAAAAAAAAAAAAACTAGGAGTAAAACAAGAAAAGGTAATTTGCGGTTTCGATTATACATTGGGAAACACTACATTAGTGCTTCGATGTCAAGTGGTACGGACGAAGTAAGATCTAAGGATTTGTTTGCTTCAAAAACTACCCTAACAAATATTGATTGCACATGCGTTTATCTTTGCTAATTTCTCAGAAATATGGTAATTAATCAATAACATCGATTTTTATTTTTTTATTTACATGTACTAGTAAAAATTGTAAATTGTCGTCTAATGCCATAAATGATTAGTTATAGGTGCACATTCTTGGAAACAATCACATGTACGTGCTTCTTGGAATTTTACTTGAAATAAATCTCTGACTTTCGTTGACTTCTTGTTTAATTACACTCCCTCCGTTTCGTTTTAGTTGTCGTTTTAGGACTTAAATTTTGTTTCGTAATAGTTGTCGTTTTAGGTTTTCAATGCAAATGTTTGGTAAAAATTCCAATATTATCTCTATTGTTTTAATGTTTTGGTCAATGAAAAAATTTATAAGATATATTAATAAAGGATAAAACATAAAATTTAATGTTTTTCTTAATTTGTGTGAGAAAACCTTAAACGACAACTAAAACGAAACGGAGGGAGTATGATCTTTGTGTAAACAATGTGATTAGAATACAATTTAAAATCGACAAAAAAAAAACCCAAAAAAAAGTGTGGAAACATTTAAGGTGTACGTAACGTTGTAATATAAATGTGGAAGCCCTAAGAGTAATGGCTTACGTACCTTGAGACCAATTATTTATAGAATAAAATAATTGTAAAATAGTGGCAATAAATGAAGCCACATGGATATAGTGGTCGAATATTTCTATAAACAAATATCATCCCTCATATTATTATATATGACATTTTATGAAATAGATGTAAATTTCGTTTTAGAATTCGAGTTTTTTTTGCAAATATGTTTTTTGGTTAGTTGTTTATTGTGAATTTCATATATTATATAAAATGTGATATTCTGTTTTTTTTTTTTTAATACATTATACATAACATTTATTCATGTGGTCTTTAACCCACTTATATATCGAATATCTTACAAAGATCGCGTAAATAATTATGAGTTATTTAATTACATAGCCTAGGTATGTATGTGGCAAAACGTGAAGATGGCCCCCGGCCGCAATCAGTTGAGGCCCAACGGCATTTAAATGTGATGCCGTATTTTCCGTGTTCTCTTATACGGACGGACACTCTCATACGTACATACTTCACAAATAATTTTTAAAAATAAGAATTAGTGTGTGTGCTAGCTTGTGTTATCACTAATAGATGGAACATGGAAGAAAGGGAATGAGATTGCCGTTATCAAATATTTGTAACCATTTATCTTTGTTTTATATAAACTCAATAATTTCAAAATTATGTGGAAATATAATAAAAATGAATTGGATCGGATCGACGGGATTTGATGGTTCATGTGGGATTTCTTACAGGTGACACAACTCGCAAATTGACCAAAGAAAAAATGCATGAGGTGCCCATGTGCGGTCCACGTGCATTTGCCATCTATTTGGCTTATATACAAAATTTAATTATTAACTGTGAATACACAATGCTGCTTTTTTCTGTTCTATCTATAAAAAAACTAGCAATTTTTTGAGCTTTTGCATTTTTATTGTACTATTATAGTGTTTGATTTGAAAAAGATGAGCAAATATCAAAACTTCTGAAATTTTTTATCATACCGTTGAGCTATTATCATGATTCATGATGTATGTTTCAAATAAATGTCTAATTAATGACATTTCTATAATTTCTAACAGATTTTTATATACTATAATAGTGGATTCGTCGTCATAGAATCACTTTAAGTTAATTAGTTATCGGTTAAGGTCAGTGTGACGCAGATCGCAGACCTATCCCTACGCTACGCGCTACCACCCTCGAAAACTTCAATTTCGCCGCGAATTAGTAGCGCGTGAAATTAACTCGCATGCGTACGCGTGGTTGAGAAGACAGACTTTAATCACCAAAGCCACGTAAGCCGCCGGAATTATTTGTTATTGGGCCAAAACGTATTTTTGTTTGGGCCGATTAATTAAATTCCATATCTAATATCGGCCTATAGTTTTTTACGTTACATGTAAGTAAAATTTTGATATATTCTTTGTTCTTTTTAGTTGTTGTATATACACTTTAAGAAACCAAAACTTTTTATTTAACCTAAACACGAATAAATATATAATATTAAAACTTTTGAGGCAGAAAAAGCTTAGAAGATTTTTTATTGCTTTACAAAAAGTAAGAAACAAGTGTTAAGTTGTTCTGTTGCATAATTTTTTTGGGAGAATAAGTACCAAAAGGATTGGATATTTATCATCACAAAACATAATTTACGTAGTTTTGGGGTTCAAATGTAATACTAGAAAAAATAAACTAAATAGTGATAGAATACTTAGATTTGCATTCTCTCATGAATTCGGTGGAATATATAAATATTAGATCCACGAGGAAAAAAAAATGCGGAATTTCATTTTAAATTTCATTTAAATATATTATTAATAAAAAATTTACTTCAATTTGAAAAATGAATAAAATAAAGCCGTAAAGTCACTTGAAGCCTCCTCCTCTCCCTCCATAAGTAGCCTTCCTACCTTCCCTCTCCCTCTCACGATTCTCTCTTCTCTCTCTCTTCTAAAAACCAAACCTTTTTCCGTACTTAAGCAAACAAATGGCGGCGAGAGTAATAACATTAATGGCGGTTATGGTGGTTACTGCCTTTACTGTGAACGCCAAAATCCCCGGAGTTTACACCGGTGGTCCCTGGATCAATGCTCACGCCACCTTCTACGGCGAGGCTGACGCTTCCGGCACTATGGGTACACACTCTCTCTCTCTCTCTCTCTCTCTCTCTCTCTCTCTTACCTCCGTTTCAGACCCAAGTTTTTAACTTTTGCATTAACTATTTTGAACCCATAAATTGTTTCCACTATTCACTGAATATACGATTTTGTAGGTGGTGCGTGTGGGTACGGGAATTTGTATAGCCAAGGTTACGGTGTGAACACGGCGGCTTTAAGCACTGCCTTATTCAACAATGGTTTAAGTTGTGGCTCTTGCTATGAGCTCAAGTGTGTCAATGATCCAGGATGGTGTCTTCCTGGAAACCCATCTATCCTTGTCACCGCCACTAATTTCTGCCCTCCAAACTTTAATCAAGCTAGCGATGATGGTGGTTGGTGTAACCCTCCTCGTGAGCACTTTGATCTCGCCATGCCTATGTTTCTAACCATCGCTAAGTATAAGGCCGGTATCGTTCCCGTCTCCTACCGCAGGTAAAACTTTATTTCTCTCTTAGTCTATTCTCTGTTTTCGCTAAGTTACTCACAATACTCTCTTTATGTCTCTTCTCTGTTTTTTTTATTATCTATACTCTGTTTTGCCTACTTTGCAACCTCTGAACATTTTCCGGAAGATAGGAAGAGAATTATCGAGTCTTGATAATTAAAAACTTCCAACTTAAAATAAACATTCGTGTTTTTTTAGAGAAAATCCCGTATTTTTTGGTTAGCTTATTTTCGAGACCGATCCTATTAAATTGCCTAATGTTGTTGCTTCAGTCAAATATGTTAAAGGTATTTCTTTTGCTTCAGAAGTAACTTTTTATCCAAAGTAATTAAGAATCTGTGAGTCTGAAGATTTTCAGAGCCTTGGCATGTTCACTCTATTCTTTATTCCATTTTTTCTTAATTTCCCGAGAAAGTTGCTTCCTTTTCTTTTATTTTTATCGGGAACCAAACATGAAAAGTGTTCACCAAAAATCAAATAAAAAACCAAACATGAAAAGTTTTTCCTTCTATTAACGTACTGTTTTAGTTGAGCCTATGCAATCACCTTTTCTGTCTTTTAGTCCCTTTAAAGCCATACCTTTTAAACCCGGGTCGGTTATTTTCGCAATTTTTTTATACAGTATCAATTTTTTTTTGGTACTGAATACATTATACATAAGTACATAACTAACAATATATTATTTTTTTGGGTGTTGTAGGATCCCATGTAGGAAGAAGGGAGGTATAAGATTCACAATCAATGGATTCAAGTACTTCAACTTGGTGCTGGTCACTAACGTAGCCGGAGCTGGCGACGTCAATAAGGTGAGTGTGAAAGGAACCAACACACAATGGTTAGATCTGAGCCGGAACTGGGGACAAAACTGGCAATCCAACGCAGTTCTTATCGGCCAATCTCTTTCTTTCCGAGTCAAAACCTCCGATGGCCGAAGCTCCACCTCCAACAACATTGCTCCCAGTAACTGGCAATTTGGTCAGACTTACTCCGGCAAGAATTTCCGCGTCTGATTCCTAGAAAACGAAAAAGAACCGTGTGGCGGAAGATACTGAAGCTTTTTATATCAATTATATATATTTACGTGTCTTTGATTTAGATTACGATTTGGAATTGGGGTTTTACCATTTTTCCCTTATTTTCTCAGGGAAAGTATTGGGATTGCTTGGTTTGGAAGTTAGGGCTTTACTTTTAAGATTAGGGTTATATTGTTGTTTTTGTTTTTGGTGTGTTGTGTCTTGTTTGGTTTGTAGAGAGGCTGAAGCGGCTGCAAAAAGAAAGGGTTGGGATAAAGATAAATGTAGCCCGCAGCTCTCTTTTATGTTATGATTGTATTAAGTATATATATTATGAAGAAAGTTAAACATGGATCTTCGATTTAATTATATAAATAAATATTTGGCTATTTGTTTATTTAGTAACTAAGATTTAATATATTTTGTGTTATGTACACAGTACACTTAATTGTATTGAAATCTGCTTGTCCTAAATAACTTTTGATCAAAAATTATTTGTCAATTCAGATGAATAACTAATAGTACGAGTATATAAACAAATAGTGGTAGTTGACAAAACAAAAAACATAAGAGAGGTGATTGCAAAACGTTAATGCAAGACAAATAACTCGTTCGTACTACGTTTGTATTGAAAACTTCAAAAGGCATTAGAAAATAATTCAAACATCATACTTGGTTTTGAATTTGAGAATCAATGTATCATCCTGAATGTATCATCCATATATATTATTCAGTAATCTTTATACATAACGTCACTATACTTTTAGATCAGTCAAGCGTATATACGCACGGAATCTAAAGATTTATACGGTCCAGAATTCCGGGATATATGGTGTACCATACATTGATACATATTTACGTATGTACTTATGTGAGAGGTGATGTATCAAGGAGAATAAAATTCATGTGATGTGATGTAAATGCATTACACCATCATCATGTGCAACCTGCCATCACAAATTTATTAGAGAAAAAAATAACAAAGAGTAATATAAGATATTGAATAAGATTTTACAGAATCTTATCTTATATTCTGATAATTTGGTAGATGGACCAACCAATGTATAATTTTTTTTTCAAAAAAAATCTATATGTATTAGAATATTATTGTTTTTTTTTTTTTAATCCCATGACCATGTTTCATATGCCAACATCTAGATGCAACATGTTTAGATAGCATCAGTCCATGATGTAATAATAAAGGCGTTAGTTCTTTTTCTTTTGAAATGAGGTTTAGTTACGTACCTTGCATACATGTATGCAAATAATTGTTTTGAGTATATATATATATATAGCATATCTCATGAATGAATGTTATAAAGTTTTGCCCAATATACTTCTTAATTTTTACCTTCAATTCACCTTTTGTTAGTCTAAATACATCAATTAGATCTGATGAATCAGAAACAATAAGAAGTACCATGATCTAGCTACCAAAATAATCTTTTGCCTTCACATAATCAAAAATAATTTAATTAAGAAAATAGACGTGCGAATCATCTATTATCTATCATCTGATGCAAATGAAAATATACTTGCGTCGTCTCATGCAATGTTTCTTACGAATCACAAAATCACGATCGACCTATTAGCGTCATTGTCTACTGCGAATAACCAAACCGAAAAATTGAGTGTTTGTGGGTGTATGTGGCTGGTCGAGATTGATAGTTTTCATCTCAGTTGTTTTGTGGCCAACAATATGAATCCGAATGTTTTTCTGTTAATATATTTCAATTTCCTATAAGCAGCAATACACAAACCTGCCAAAGGTTTTGATATAAAGATAGATTTTTTTTTTTTTTTTAAAAACAAGATTGTTTCAAAATGAATGTAAAAAAAACGAAATAAAGGAAAGTTTGAATAATAGAAAATATGTATATATGGTGGGCTGTCTATTTGGTCGGTGTAACTAAATGAATGTTATTAGATAAAGAAGACGAAATCAAAGGATACTTTTTTGCAAAAAGAAAAAAAAAAAGATAGAAAGATTAAAGATGGTGGAGAGCATAAATCCTAATATTATCTCATCGTAAAAGCATCAATGTTTTCGGCACAACAGAACAAAAAACAATAGACGAACGTAGGAAAATTACAGATGATTTCAAATGTGACATCTTATTTGTCTGTTGGATCAATTCCAATCTTTAACAAAGAAAGATACTGGTTACTTATGATAGGAAATGTTATGACTCTGAGCAAATTTGTAATAACATAATCGGCCAAAAATTAGATGTAATAACTTATTAATGTTCTCGTTTTCAGGAACCAAACATTTGAGAAAAAAAAAACATAACAATGTAAGTTTTACTTTTGTGAAAAAGATACTAAAAACAGTGTAATACAGAGGTACTTTTAAAATCTCTCGACTATTCCTTCACTCTTGACCAATTACGAAACTAACATATAATTTATAACAAACGTATAAAAGTAATATATAATATTTCAGAGTAACAAATAGTTCCAAAAGAGAAAAGAAATATTATTCGTGGTTAAAAATAAAAATAATGATTATTCATTCCCCTTCGTCTATCCCTTGCTTAATTTATCTTAGAACTCTGTTTGAGCTTAAGACGAAATTGTCCTCACCGCCTGCAACCGTAGAGTGGAGTCTCCCGGCAGCCCAGCCATTGTTCAGCATCCGTGCTGGATCACCGGTCACACGGCTTTCTTCAGTCCGTGTTTCAAACTCCGGAAGCCCATTTGCTTTCCTCTCTGTCCTTCTCTTTCTCTCTTCATCTCTTTCTTTCCTCAGCCAACTCTCAACTGTTCTCATCAGTGACTTCTTGCTTGTCTCCTTCACTTTCTCCATTGGCAATGCTAATTGCAGTTTCCCGTGTGCAACATACACCTGCAGATGTGATGTTATTATGTGTTGTTTGTAGGTAGTTTTAGTAGAGGAGCAAAACAGAGAAATGAGATTTGTGTGGTTATATTACAATGTTTGTTGGCCAATCCTCTAGACCATCAAATATATGAGTAGCGTATATTATGGTTGCTCCTCGTTCTTCGCATTCCTTTCTCAGAAATTTCAAAAGGTCTGCTCTTGCCAGAACGTCAAGATCAACAGTTATTTCATCCAAAAGAAGAACCTATTCGAGAAAAATAAGATTCAGATGAGTTGTTAAAAGAATGTTTTTCATAATTAGACCCTCTTATGAACTTAAGTCCATAGTTTTAAGCATCAAAACCATTCTGAAGAATCAGGTTTCACTGGTTTCACTAAAAATATGTAATTTTGGAGATAGTGTATAGGGAGGTTACCTTAAATGGCTTGAGGAGTCCCATACAAATCTGGACACGTCTTCTCTGGCCATCCGATACCTTGTGCAGTCTCCATGAGATATCGATATCCAACACCTGAACCAACCACAATTAGAACAATACAGAAAGGTAGAGAAGAATCACATGCATTTGACGTAAAAGCAAGCAACTTCATTCCCGCTTGTAAAATACATAAGAGTAATGATCTTCAGATTCTTAAGTGCTAATAAGTTTGGTATGTGATAAAGAGTAAAGGCCAGACCATGCTCTAGCTGATTTCGTTCGTGGTTAACATTAAAATTCACAAAGAACGAACGAGTTAAGTCTGTAGCAATACTTATATCATTTGAATCCGTCCCCAAACTTCAACGAAACACATGTAAGAGTGAATTAACAGAAGCTAAACCATCTCACCAAAGTCAGATATTTGAATAATCTACTCACCTTGATCAACTCATCTCTTCTCTGAGGATCAATACCAGCCACTCCAAATATCATCTTCTCCGCCGAAATGTCCATTTGTATCGGAACTTCAAATCCTGCAAATGCAACATCACGCCTCCACTGGAAAAAAGAGACCAAAAACATTGTTCTCAGTGAAGAGTATCAAAAACACAAATCGAATTTAGGAAAGATTATCGAATTACTTTAAATTCCAAATCAATAAGGATTCACACTATATTTGTAATCCAATCACATTCACAGAAAGACAAAGAATTGAAAATTCACCACGAACCTCGCCACCGAGATAACAGAGATCACCAGAAGATGTCAATCCAGTATCATGAAACGCCGAGCGACCCAGAACCCTAACCATATGCGGCTCCACCATGTGTTTCCCTCCCAATATCTTCAGAATCGTCGTTTTCCCTGATTCCAATCACTCATCTAATCAAATTCAGATCCCATACATACACATTTCAAGCTAAAGAGACAACGAATTTCAAATACCCGCGCCGTTAGATCCGACGAGGAGACACCGATCGCTTGAATTAAGCGTGATTGAGAAATCTTCAATAAGTGGTTTCGATCCCGGTGGTGGATGACCGTCGATTCCAGGATACGTGAAACGTAATCCGGAGATCTCAACCGTTGAATTCCGCTTCTTCTCCTCCTCCGTCACCGCCATTTTTAGTACTTGTTCTCTTCCCTTACTCTTCTCTCTGCTTTACTTATACTTTTTTCGTCACGACGTTTTTGGTAGTTGGTGAAGAAAAGTTATTAAACCGACACCGTTTTTGGTGAATAGTTTGAACCTTAGCTCACGTGGCGCTTTAAGAGACGCTAGTTCTTTAACTGACGACGTCGTTTAAATGAATTAGGCGACGTGGCGCGAGTAGAGACCATCGATATTGAAAACGACATCGTTTTCATTGTTCTTCTTTAAGATCTGTACTGTTGTTTTTTAGTCGCTTTGTTCTTGTCTTCATCGTCTCGCTGATTTCTGGAATTGGATCTTTGAAGATTATCGGAAAACAATGGCGGCGATTTACAGTCTTTACATAATAAACAAATCTGGTGGTTTGATATTCTACAAGGTACGATCTCTCCATCTTCTTGTTCTCGATCTCGCAGCTTGCTACTTTCTATGTCTGGAGAATGACGAGCTAATTAATGTTAATTTCGCCTGATTCATCGATTTTATTTGAGGGATAAACCAAAATATGAATTTTTGGAGATCAGTAGGTTTAGAAGAAGGAGTGATTTAGGTATTTACTCTAGGGTTTGTGAATATCTGCTAAGGAAAGAAAATTTCTTAATTTTGCTGAAATCTGAAATAGAGACTGTGTTTGGATTTGAATTTTGATCTGTTCTGTGTGTATTTGGATTTGGATTTGGGAAATTTTAGGATTGTGGAACAAAGGGAAGAATGGATACGAATGATAGCTTGAGAGTAGCTAGTTTATGGCATTCAATGCACGCCATTTCTCAGCAGCTTTCACCTGTTAATGGCTGTTCTGGAATTGAGCTTCTCGAAGCCGACACTTTTGATCTCCATTGTTTCCAATCTCTCCCAGGTAACATACATCGCCAGAACAAGTTACGTGTACTTCTCTTGATTATTGATTTGGCTCTATAACTGATGTCTCAGGAACAAAGTTCTTTGTGGTTTGTGAACCTGGGACTCCTCACATGGAGAGCCTCCTTAGATACATTTATGAACTCTACACTGATTATGTCTTGAAGAATCCTTTCTACGAGATTGAAATGCCTATCCGTTGCGAGCTTTTCGACATCAACCTTACTCAAGCTGTACAGTCAGATCGTGTTGCATTGTTAGGACGATGAGCAAGAGATTGATTGTCTGCTGGGATCATCTCACTTCTTTGCCATTTTTGTGGTTTTCTTATCCTGTTAACATTATTTTATGTGAGATAACATGTGAACGTTGTAAGGGGACCTAATTTTACAACTATCAAATTTCCTTCTCTCCCTTACATTGCCAGGAAACTGGGATAAAAAGAAGAGACTTCTTTTGTTACTACCAAACAGCATAATACCTAAATAGACAGATGGTAAAGAGTCTATACATCTCTAGAACCCGGTAAAAAGATTGCCTAGGATAATTTTATTGTTACATAATTGAAGGCCTAGGATAATTCACAGCTTGTGGAGATTTGTTGATGTTGATGTCAATGCTGATTTGTGGATTCTGCTGCTCTTTCGGTGCTTCCTTCTGGATATGAAGTTCTTCCAGTGTCTTGACGATTTCGTTCATGGTCGGTCTACTCTTGGTATCTATGGATATGCAATCGAGTGCAAGAACTGCAATTTTCAAAGCTCGGGTTAGCGAGTATTGACCTTGGAGGCGAGGATCCATCACCCGTAGAAGTCTTCTCTTGTTTGTTAAGTAAGGTCTTGCCCAATCCACTAGATTGTGTTCTCCTACTGGTTGATTCTTGTCAATTGCTCGTCTTCCTGATAACAACTCCAGTAACACAACCCCAAAACTGTACACATCGCTCTTCGCCGATAAATGACCTTTCAAATTTGACATATACATCAGTATTGGAGTTCTCTTCATTGATCATAATAAGAGAGAATGCATGCTCATATATACCTGTAGCTAGATATTCTGGAGCAGCGTATCCCTGAGTTCCCATGATTCTGGTAGAAACATGGCTATTGTCACCCATTGGACCATCTCTAGCCAAACCGAAATCCGAAAGCTTTGCATTGTAGTTCTGCAGATACAGAGAAACAGTTAAAGATAAACTTCTCTGGCTGCATCCAAAACCAAAGCTACAAAAAGTATCAATCATGTGCCATACCGAATCTAGCAAGATGTTGGATGCTTTGAAGTCTCGGTATATAACTTGCGGTTGAGCATTGTGAAGAAAAGCAAGTCCTCTAGCTGCACCAAGAGCCATTCGAACCCGCGTGTTCCATGAAAGTGGCTGATAGAATGTTCCTCCTGTTATGAGAAAAAGAAAGAAAAATTAATCATTGTGTATAACAAATTCTTCCATGAGCATCTTTCTCTTTGAAGATATTTGAACTTACTTCTGAACAAGTGATTCTCAAGACTACCACGGGGCATAAACTCGTAAACAAGAAGCCTGTGCTCCTCTTCCAAGCAGTATCCAAGCAGTTTCACAAGGTTAGGATGATCCAGCTGGCCTAAATAATTGATCTCAGCCTGTTGTTTTCAAAGTGAAAAAAAAACACCAAAAAAGAGGATCACTCACTCAAACTACAAAACCAGGTTCTTGGACAATCTTGAAATAACAAAAAAGGTAGCTTGAGGAGAAAAAATGTGACTAACCAGCCACTCTCGATGACCTTGAAACCCTTCTTGGTTAAGTCTTTTAACTGCAATGACAATCCCGGTCCCCGGTTTAGAAGGAGTGAGTGAGGCCTCATCGATCCAGCCTTTGAAAACACAACCAAATCCACCTTCACCAACCACACTATCAGGCCGGAAATTCCTGGTTGCAGATTTCAGTTCACTGAGACTAAAGTTCTTCAGATTAGCATTTTGCAAGATCTCGCCTTCTGTTCGAGGCATATAAGAGAAGGAGGTGGTCGACGAGCCCTTGCTCCCATCTCTACTCAAAAATTTCGAACTTAGCCCTACAAGAATTCTTCTTTCAGAAACAGAACATTCAAAACACAAAACTTTCAATTCTAATCCTAGAAAGAATCTGGTTTTAGACTTTAGATTCTAAAAAGACAACCTTTTTTAGAGAGAATAAAGTGACAGTCAAATCTACTTAGCCGACACTGCGATTTCCATAGATTCAGCTCTTCTTACCAATAATGGAAACATACTATCTTCTACTCTGAACAAGAACTTAAATCTAAAAACTTTCTACTGCAGGACTAAGCAAGAGTGTGAAAGAATAATTATTCACAAGATATCAATCAAATTTAATAATAATAATAAGTAGGAGAAAGACAAGAAAATTGACCAAGGACTCACATGTGCTGGAAGCAATATCTGTTTTGATCCGATTGCTGAAACAACCTCCCATTAAAAACTCAAGAAACTCACTCAGCTCTATAATCTTCTCGATTGAAAGAAGATAAAAAAGATGACAACTTTATGTGTGTAAACACAAACCCAGTTCAAGGCGTACGAAATGGAGCGAAAATTGAAAAAGACCTTCAAGAAAAACCCAAAATTTTCCCAGAGAAAGAAAGAAAATTGAGCTGGCTTAATAATCAATAGCCTAACCTTTTGTTCTCTGGAAGAAAAGTCTTTGTGATAATAATGAAAGTAATTGAAATGAAAAGAAAAGATTGTTTTTTTTTTTTTTTAGCTCTTTCCTCTCTCTTTCTCTCTCAGTTAGGGACCTTTTGGGTACGCCCTATTGGACTTTGTCTTCTTCCTCATCCTCCTCTGTTCATCGTTGACTTGTTGACTTTTCCTATAAGACTTTGAGTCTGCTACCCACGGGGACAAATAAACTTGAAAAGGAACTGAATTTTGAAGTTACCTAGTTGGTTTGTGGTTGTAGTAGTCGATGAATGGAGTTTTTTTTTTTTGTAGAAAACTAGTTTTGGAGTAGTTGATATACTAAAAATGGCTGAATGAAACGAAGAGAAGAAGCCTTATTTTATATTGCGCCGTTGATAGTCTCGACTCTCGAATATATGTTGTGGAGGTTGTATATATTTTGCCAAAGTAAGTATCGGTTTCCTTGGCTACAATTCATTAAAAATCTATAAGAAAATTTGAAATTGACATATTGATCTACTGTTTACATATATCACTTACAAATATAGCGATCTAAAGAAAATGGTGACCCGTATCAAAAATATATATTTTGTAGCCCTTTTCTTATCTGATGTTTTTAATTTTAGATAATATTAGCTTGACTATATATATAATTTATCAAGTATTTTCTTAAAACAAAACGTTTAGTAAACAATAAATTTGGTTAGATTAGTAGGAACTAGGAACCTGATTTCAACATATGATTATGTTCCAATGAATAAAACAAACTGGATAGATTGTCAAAAAAAAAAAAAAAAAACTTGATAGTATATCATCTATGGGCCCAGCCCAATATATGGAAGTATTGAACCATAATATGGCAATAGCTATTAACAGGCTTCATTTTCATCCATGGCCTTGGCCCCTGGGCCACTAATATAGTTGATGATGTAAGTATATATTTTAAAATTTTCAAAGGTAATGGCATATTGATAAATATTTGTCTATAAATAAATTTGCAGAAATTTATATATATGATTGAAAAATTTAATTAATTTTTGGGGACACAATTATTTTAAATTTAGTGCATGATTTCATTTTACAATAGTTGTTTTAGTATATCATCAGTTCCTATATTACATACCATATTTTCTATTTCGTTTATTCACTATTATTATTATATCATTACTATCTCTGGTCTAACAACCAAGCATTTTTTTTTTTTTTTTAAAAAGACTTTGATTCGTGACAAAAAAAAACAAAGACTTTTGGTTTTACAATGGTCATTTACCTTTCATGTTTCTCGTTAACTTATCTCTTGGTGATGTTACAAAATTGTAAATGAAGTAACTAATGTTCAAAATATGTCATTTATTATAACTTAGAAAAAATTAGAAAAAATAGTTTACAAAAAAAAAAATTAATGTTATTAAAAAAAAAAACTGTCAAATATGATCCAAAGATTCTACATTTCTACTAGTAACTAGATTGTTACCCGCGGTACACCGCGGGTTAATTATTTGTTTTTTTTTGTCTTTTTATAAAATGATGAATTTGTTGTATATAATATTTTTTGTTGTACATTGCGAGTCACATGCGTTGTAACTAAAAATGAAAATTTTAAGTTGTATTTGTTTTGTTTTGTGTTTAAAATTGTATAATTGTATTTTGATTTGTTAATCCCAGGATTTCACCCGTGATATATTATCCCGTATTAATATCAATCCAAATCCGACCCGTCCCACCATATAATCATGTCCCGTAAAATTAAACATCATTTTGTTATTTCTTTTAATAACACTTTTATTTAAAAGACATATAATTCGAGTCAATTTAAAAGTTTGCTTTCAAATAGGTTCTATAATATATTATATATATATATATATATTTCAAATTAGTGTGTGTTTTTAGACCAACCCGTAAAAATATTTTTAAAATGTATATTAAAATACTAAATAATTGTATTTCGATTTGTTAATTTTAAGATTTCACCGTGGTATATTGTCCCGTTTTAGATAATTGTAGAAATTAAGAAAATATCTGAATGACTCAATTCCGGGTCAGAGTAAAAAAAAAAATACGACCTGATTAAACGCGCAAATTTGTTTTTCAAAAATGTTAATATAGATTGTACACATATTTTTTTCTTCATCGATTGAGTAATATGTCCGTTTTAAAAAATTTGAATCATAGCATATGCAGAAAAAAATCGATTTTTTTTATTAAGTATATATATTTTATAATAGTTCAAAATAATATAAATATAAGATCATATAAAAGTGAAATGAGAATCATATATTTATGTTTTAATTAGGTAGAGAGGTTTTAGGAAATTAGTTCAAATTTGTTATATTAGCATTAAATAATCATATTTGATTTCTATATCTATAAAAATTGTAGAGAATATGCCATAAATAAAGAGTTTAGGTATAGTAATTAGTTGAGAAAATATATATTTTTTAGATTTTATTGATTAATTTTCGTTTTTTAATTTTGTCAAAAATAAGGAAAGATCCGATTGAAGATTTCCGGGTCAAAATTAAACAAAATTTGACCCGATTAGGAACCCCAAAAAGTGTTGCAAAAATGTATAGTAGATGGAGCTAGTGAATTGATGATAAAAAGGAATCTATATATACATTTTTGGAGACATTTATGAAATAAATCCTGGAGTTCCAACTTATTTACGATCAAATGTCATTGACATTAATTATTTAGATTTTCAAAATTACATCAAAGATATTAACATAAAAAATCGTTTCCAAAAATCTTAATCTAATATATTAAGCATAACTAATCTTTGCCACAGTTACATCCATATTCAATTCGATTTCCTTAAAAAATCTCAACAATTCCTACATTTAATCGTGGCCATTCAAATCTTAATCCGGTTTTTAATCTTCAATCTTGATCGTCGGTCATACACAATTAATTCAGAAATCATTATATAGAATTAATTATTATTAACTAAAATTTTAAAATATATATATAAGATCAAACTTTAATTTGACTCGAATTATATGTTTATTAAATAAAATATTATTAAAAATAACAAAATGATGTTTAATTTCACAGGACGAGGTTATATAGTGGGACGGGTTTGGATCGATATTAATACGGGACGATATTAACATCACGGATGAAATCTTAAAATTAACAATCAAAATAAAATTATACAATCTTAAACACTTAACAAAATAAACAATATTAAAAAATTTAATTTTTTAGTTAAAAAATCGATTGCAGTGTAAAATCTAGTTTATTTAGTAATTGAAAATGTCAACTACTAAACAAAAAAAAAAAATCATTTAGGAAAGAAATAAAAATCAAAATAGTGACTTTTTCTTCGTTCGTATCTCAATTGTAAAAGAGACCTCCCTAGCTCCGCGAACTGCCATGCCTTTAACCAATCTCCACCTATAAACTCTTCCGTCGTAGTGCTGCAATCGGAGAAATTAGGGTTTTCTCTCAGAAAATTGGAGGTATTTCTTCCTTGATTTTTTGGAACCTAAGCCGATTCTTTTACTGAATTCACTCATATAATCATTGTAATTTGAAGTTATCTCGAAAGTTTCAGGTTTTATTGAAAGTTCGTCTGGCTCTGGTGTGAAGACGATCACTTGTTGGTTCTATCTAAGTCTCATCGTCTTCGTTTTACTCCGAAAGTTTCCTCCTTGGAGGATTAAACCCTGGAGAGTCACAGTTCCGTGTTAGGGTTAAGCAAGTGTTTCTGCAGCGTTGTGTCGGTGGTGGTTTTGTATATCCGCCGCTCGTTAACTGGGGAGATGGAGACCAATTCGCCTCTTTTTGGTTCAGTTCTTCCTAGCTCGCATGATTTGGTCATTGAGGTATTGTTTTAGATTGTACTTCCCGAACTACTGCTTATTCATATGAACTTTGTTTTAGTAGCTGTGATTGTGTTTTGATTCTTGATTGTAGTATCTTGTAAGATGCTTGGAGTTAAAGTTTGGCTTTTTTTGTTTTGTTTTGTAGAGGCTTGCCTCTGTGGGGGTTCCAAAAAAATACTGCTCTAAACGTGGCCTAGTGGAATTCGTTAGGGCTAAGCCGGCCAAGATTTCAGAGTTAGTCTCTGCTCTCTTACCTACAGATGAGGATGTTAAAATAGGATTGAAGGAAGCTAGGGAACGGTCTCGAAAGTCTGCGGTGAGTCCTAGCATGAAAAAGAGGTTCAGGGAGAGCATGAATATGCTCCAGTGGTTGATGTTCCAGGATGAGCCTGATGTTTCTTTGAGGAATCTAGCAAAATTGAATCTTGATCAGCGAGCTGTTTGTGGCTCTGTCTGGGGACACAATGATATAGCATATAGGTGTAGGACATGCGAGAATGACCCAACTTGTGCAATCTGCGTGCCTTGTTTCCAGAATGGGGATCACAAGTCCCACGATTATTCGATCATCTACACAGGTGGTGGTTGTTGTGATTGTGGGGATGAGACGGCATGGAAACGGGAGGGTTTCTGTTCAAGTCATAAAGGCTCTGAACAGATTCAACCCCTATCAGAAAATCTAGCAAATTCAGTTGGGCCTGTACTTGATGCCCTTTTTACTTGTTGGCATAACAAGCTCTTATCTGCAGAAAGTATTGGTCAGAAAGGTGCAAGATCCAACGATACTCTTGTGGTACCCCAAAAGATGTCAAACGAGCTGACCTTTATAGTCGTTGAAATGCTTCTGGAGTTTTCTATGTCCAGTGAGAGTTTGCTCAGTTTTGTTTCTAGAAGGATTATCTCTTCAACTGGTTTATTGAGTATTCTCTTAAAGGCTGAGAGGTTCTTGGACCAAGATGTTATGAAGAAACTACATGACTTGTTCCTCAAATTAATTGGAGATCCAGTCTTCAAGTGTGAATTTGCAAAAGCATTTGTGAGTTACTATCCAGTTGTCATAAGTGAAGCGGTTAAGCAGGGTACTGATAATGCATTCAAGAAATATCCTCTACTGTCCACATTTTCTGTGCAAATACTCACGGTGCCAACTCTAACACCATTTCTGGTGAAGGAAATGAATTTGCTGGCTATGCTTTTGGGATGCCTAAGTGATATCTTTGTTTCTTGTTCTGGGGAGGATGGTGTGCTACAGGTAAACAGATGTCTTCGTTTCTCATTGTTTGGTTTAGTGATACTTTCTACTCAGTATTTGTATCATTTTAATGGTGATGAGTTTTATTTCCGCTTTCATTGTGCTCCTAGTGAAACATGACGGTTTTCTTTTGTAGGTTACAAAGTGGGAACGGTTGTATGAGGCAAGTGAACGT